AGAGTTTCATTCAGTTTTCTGGTCAAAGAACCAGCTCATGGATATATTTATATAGTTTTTCTTTTTTAAAAAAATTATTGACATCTGCTTTAATATTTGTTATTTTACTCAGTTTATTAAGGTTTATTCTGTTGTCTTTCCTAGCTTCTTAAAATGCATGCTTAGTCTATTTTAATTATTTCTGACTTCATAATAAAAGCTTTAAAGGTATACATTTTCTTCTAAGTAACAGTTCTGATTACATCGCATTAATTTTGAAAGATAGTGTTGTAGCTATCTTGTTTTTTTCCTCAATAATCTGTGATTGCAAATTTTATTTCCTTATTGACCTAGGTTTTGTTTTTTCTTTAAGAATAGTGCTTACCATTTTTTTCAGATGCTTTTCTTTTCTTTGGTTTATCCTTTTATTGCCAATTTCTAGATTTATTGTACTGTGTGTTGAGAATGTGACCTGCATGATAATTTTTGTTTTTCTTAAGTTAATGAGATTTTCTTCATGGCTTCAGATATAATGGGTTTTTATAAATGATTCACTGATGTTTGTAGAAAACAGGTATTCTCTAGAATACAAAGATCATTATATCAATTAATTTTGACTTAATAATTATATAATTTATATGCTAATTTATTTTTCTGCTTAACTTATCAAAGTCTAAGAGCAGTGTGGTAACCATCCGCAATCATTGTTTAGTTTATTTCTCCTGGCATTTCTTCACTCCCTCCATCTCACCTTAAATCCTCTGCCCCATACAGTTTTTTAAACTATCAATTAATATATATTTATAAGGTGTGTAGGTATTCATATATATTTGTGTATATGTATATGAATAAAATCAACTGTTTTCTTCTTATTCCTCAGAGGTAACAACTATAAATAATTTAGTGTGTATCCTTCCTGATCCTTTTATGTGTATGTTATCACTTTTATTAAGTTTTGACTATCCTTTCTTTAAAAATCCGAGAAATAAGCCGAGGGTTTTGGGGGGATGGGTGGAGGGATGGGTTAGCCCGGTGATGGGTATTAAGGAGGGCACATACAGCATGGAGCAGTGGGTGTTATACGAAAACAATGAATCATGGATCACCACATCAAAAGCAAATGATGTATTGTATGGTGACTAACATAACATAATAAAATAAAATTTTAAAAAATCTTAAATTTCATGAGTAATGCATGAATGTACACACATATAGGCATATTTACACATAAAATGCAGCTTTTTAATAAGTGTGGGTTTTATGATATTTTTGTTATATGAATAGGTCATGCTGTACACATTGCTCTGCATCTTGCTCTTTTAAGAATGTCTTAGTAATCTTTCCATATAATTATAGATCTACCTTATTCTTTTAAAGTGTTGCATAATATTCCATTATATGGATATAGCCCATTATTTAATCAGCCTCTCTAGTGAACCTGATCTATTAATTGCCTCTGGAGTATGATGAGATAATTTGCACACTTTTAGTTTATTTCTCCTTCTATTTTTAGTCAAGATAACTGAGACTTTTAGATCCATATTATTATTGTTTAATATATTACCTTCCCTACAAATAATTATTTTTGACATTTCTAGATGTAGATATGTTTTCCTTAATTTTGTCCAGTATATTGTGAGTTCTTTTAGTCTGAAATTTTTATCATTATCTCTCTTTGGCCTCTTATCTCATTTTGAGTGTGTGTGTGTGTGTGTGTGTGTTTATCTCCAGAATTTGTTTTTGTGTCTCAGGTTTTCATTCATTATCTTCAGCTCTCTCTTACCTCTCAGTTCTGGGAGAATTTCTTAAAGCAGCTTTTGAAATCATTGATTTGATTTTTGTCATAACTGAATGTACTATTCACTTCCCCTATTACATTTTTTAATTAAGTAATTGCTTTTTCATCAGAAACCAGTCTTTCTGGATCTCAGAGTGTTCTCTTTTCATAGATTCAGTGTTCTCTCAGATCTTGTGGAGAGTATACTTTTTAAGTTTATTTCAGTTCTTTGAAGTGAAAAGCTTTCATAAGTAGACACTTGGCTCTGGTTTGTCAGGACATTTCTCCTTGAAAAATTACTTGTTATTTTTCATATAAATGGGTAATTTTCTCCATTTATTCATCTTTGCAGAAGATGGTCTTTGAGTTTTGGAATTTGAGATAAATTTTGTCAAATTTATTTCCTCCTCTGAGACTGAGAGTACTCTTTATAATTTCTATAGTTATTTATTTATTTATTACTTCCCTTTTGTTCCTTCTTACCCATCCCCAGTTAAGGAGCATAATCATTTATGAAGAATTAGAAGGGTGTGCTGGCCAAGGGCAGTTGTGAGGGAGAGACTCTTGCTACAGTGCTGAAAGGCTTCTTTGTTTGTTGTAGCTGCTTGAATTATCTAGAGCACTGCCACTTTTCTCTAACTGGCACAAAGTCAGGCTCCTTATGTGGAGCCTGATACTGAGGGGACAGAAAACTGTATCATGTGAATAATAGTTACAGGAAGTCAAGTTATTTGGTCTAGAATGGAAATTTGTAGGAGACATGGTAACTGTCTTCAGTAGCTGAAGGGCTGTCACGAGAACAATTAGACTTGCTCTGTGTAGTCTCAAGTGGTAGAATTATGTTAGAAGAGTACTGTCTTACATTCAAAGAAGGAAGATTGCTATCACTGACCCTGCTGCTGATTCAAATATTTATTGACTCCGAATTTCAACCATTCATTCAGATATTACCCACACGTTAGATGTTAACCATTTCTTAACAACATGTTACATGGGTGGCCAAGTGCCTATGAGATGTACTGGAAAGAAGCTATGCAAGCATTGGCTTTGTCATTTACTCATAGAGGTGTCATCCTCAGAGAACTGCTACGTTCCATTCTTACTGTCTTTTTTTTGGTAATTATTTGACCTCAATTTCTTGATACTTATGGTGGTAGTCATTCATCTGCATGAACTCCATCTCTTTCTTACGACATTCCTCTGTGGTAGGCAGAATAAAATGTTCACATCCTAATTCCCAGAATCTATGAATAAGTTACTTCACGTGTCAAAGGGAAATTAAAATAGAATATGGAATTAAGATTGCAGTCAGCCAAATTTAAGATACAGTGACTATCCTGGATTATCCAAGTGGACCCAGTGTAATCACAAGGGTTCTTAAATGTGGAAGAGGGAGGCAGAGAGTAATGCAGTGTGAGAAAGACTCTGCTGGCCATTGCTGGCCTTGAGGATGGAAGGGACCACAAACCAAGGAATGTGGGCAGCTTGTAGAAGTTAGAAGAAGGGTTTTCTGCTAGAACCTCTAGAAAGAAACACAGCCCTGTTAACACCTTGATTTTTTTTTAGCCCAGTGAGTCCCATTTTGCACTTTTGACTTCGAGATCTGTGATAATGAATTTGTGTTGTTTTAAGCCACTAACTGTGTGGTAATTTATTACATTGCAATAGGAAACTGATAAGGATGGATTGCTGAGAAAATCCAAGGCCATATCCCAGGAACAGTAAGAACGGCTTCTTGGTATTTCTGTTATTCAAAAATTTAATACACGTGTTGCTGACTGATGTATTCAACCATTTTCTGATAATCAGCCATTTCTCCAGTGCTGCTTATTGGCCTACTTTTTGGACATCTAGGCTTTGGTCAATAAGAGGAGCCTACATAAAAGGAGGCCCAATGAAGTAAGCGAATTTTGCCAGGAAGGCGATTTCTACTCAGTATAAGGAAAAATTTTCCATTAAAACCATTCAAAGAGAGATCAGGCTGTATTTGGAGTTCTATAGCAGGAACTGAACAATTATTTGGTGGAGACATTAAAGAGAAGATTCCTGCATTGGTTGAGGTGTTGGATTAGTGTAGATTTTATTGTTCTTGAATCTAAGAATTTAAGGGGTAGAGAGGAGGAAGCATCACTGAGGTTTGGGTAGGACGCCTGTGTGTAGTGCAGATTGTGCCTACACAAGGTTCCTAGGCAAGACAAAAGCGGGCGATGGAATCCAGCTCATACTGTTTGTCAAGCTCTACATTCTGGCTGTGGAGCTGCTCTGCCTTGAGGCAGGGGTACCTTTTGCTAATTCATATAAAGGTATTGTTTACTTGATAAGATGTGTGCCTGCAGGGCTGCATTCACCCGAAGACGTCACTTTTTTTCCCCCCTAATTTGCATAAAGATGCCATATGGGCCAGAATTAACACTGGGTCTAGAGTTATAGGAGGTGGTTTCTTGGAGTTGGTGAAGGCAAGGCAAGGATAGATAAGAGAAAAAAAGGGAAAGAGGATTATACTACTAATGCTTTAATCTCATTCTGGCTTCTCCAGTCCCTCAGCTCACTTCCAAATGGTGCTAATTGGTACTTTCTTCCAATCCATATATTCTAATAGCATATCTAATTGGGAAGAGGCACTAATGAATGAATATACTAATAAACGGGTCTCTGTATTTTAGAGGTAAAGGAACATGATCTCTTTGGGGGGGTTCACTGTATAATGTAGTAGCAAATGGGGAAAGCAAGAATCTAAGTCCTGGAGATCAAGGGGAGAGGGTGTGTTTACTCAGGGTGCTCATAGAGAAGGCAGAGCATCTCTCTCTGACCTTTTAAAAAGACTTTATTTGAGAGAGAGAGAGAGAGAGAGAGAGTGCGCACGGGCAGGAGAGAGGGAGAAGCAGACTCCCCGCTGAGCAAGGAGCCCAAAACGGGGCTCGATCCCAGGATGCTGGGATCATGACCTGAGCCGAAAGCAGACGCCCAACCGACTGAGCCACCCAGGCGCCTCATCTCTCTCTGATTTATAAGACTGGTCATCTACCTAAATATGTAGGGATGGATAATGCCAGGGTCCTCAAAGGCCCAGGAGATCTAGATCTAGGCACCTAGCTGAAGCAGTTCCCACATTCATAGCTGAGTCTCAGTGGGCCAGGTCTGGTAGTTCCACTGTCCTCAATGCCACAGACCATGTAGTTAGATCTACTGGATGTGGCCTTGGGGTGGGAAAATATGATACATTCGTGTTTGTGTATTCCTCCAGATGACCTTTGAGATGAGTCACGAGACCCTGTACTTGGCAGTGAAACTGGTGGATCACTACCTTATGGAGGTAGTATGCAAGAGGGACAAGCTACAACTCCTTGGTTCCACTGCATTTCTGATTGCAGCAAAATTTGAGGTGAGCCTGAGTTCAGAGAGCCTGGAGAAAATTAATCAAGTTTCTGCCCAAGTCTGATATATATGTATTTGTATGCCTATATGTGTGTATATGTATGTATATGTGTATGTATCATCTACACGTATATACACAGGCACATATACATGCACTTACATTTGCATGTATGTGCACCTGTGTGTGTGTGTGCATGTATAATTACATACATACACACACAAGTAATATTTCCTACCTGTTTTTGGTCGGTCTTTCCTAGCAGGGACACTGGTGTTGGGTGGCAGTGGTGGTATGTTTGTTTCCTGGCATCCACAGGGTTCTTTCATTTCTTCTTTGAAGATAGGTGTATGTGGGCATATGCCTAGTTAAATACATTGTTCTTTGTAAGTGTTCTTTCTGATCCATAATTCTCCATGTACCCCACACTCTTTTCTTCTTCTGCCAACTTCATCTCTACCTAGTGCGGTCTTGAACTGCATAGGTAAGAAGGCAAGTCCAAACCTGGGTGCTGGAGACATTTAAGAAAACACGGCCTGGTACGGATGGTAGTGAGTCCAGGTGAAATAGTTATTTTTGAAGTAGCATTATAAAAGCAAGTCGCTGGCCTTTCTTTCTTTTTTTTTTTTTTTTTGAAGAAATTATCCATTCACCTTAGAGAGAGCATGGAGGGAGGGAGAGCAAGAATCCCGGAGCCGTGTCCCTGCTGAGCGGGGCTCGATCCCCGGACCCTGAGATCATGACCTGAGCTGAAATCAAGAGTTGGCCGCCTAACTGAGCCACCCAGGCGCCCTGCTGGCCTTTCGTTCCTAACCGGAAGCCATCTCGTTTCTCTGATTCTTTCCTCTTCCTCAGATGCTAAATGATCTTGTTCAACTGTGATTTTTTCCATGATAGGCTACTTGTGTGAAACCTTAGGGTTTAGAAGCAGAGAGGTAGCAACTTTTACTGACTTCAGAGAGCTCTAGAACTGTGAGTTTGTTTCTGTGCTCCCTCACTTGCTCCTTCCGCAGCTTTGTCCTTAACTTGCTTCTTGCCTCCCTCCCTCCCTCCCTAGAGCCTTACCTCCCTCCCCGATTCCAGTCCTCCCTCTTTTGCTTCTTACTTGCCTCCCTTTCTTGCAGCTCTTGCTTCACGTCCCTCCTTGCTTCACTTTCCCCTTGCTCCCTAACTCCCTTCCTTTTACCAGCCTTCCCGCCACCCCTCCCTCATCCCTCCCTCCGTTCTTCCATCCTTGCCCAGGGCGCTCATTCACTACAAACTGGGTTTCCTCCCGGTATCACTCTTTCCCTCCCTCCCTCCCTCCCCTCCCCCCACCCTTACTCTATCCATCCCTCCTCCTGCGTCTCCTTTCCTGCCACCTTCTCCCTCCCACCCTCTGTCCCATTCCATCCTCTTCCCTCCCAGCTTCCCTCCCTCCCTTACTCCTTTCTTCCCTCTCTTTGCTCTCTTCCCGCTGTCCCATCTCTCCTCACCCCCCACCTCATTCCTTTCGTGCTGCACTCCCTCCCTCTTCCATCCCCTCCCTCCTCCCTTTTCTGTTCCTTCCTTCTCTCCCTTCTTCATGTGCTCCTTCCCTCTCTACCTCCCACTCTGGCACCCGGGCACCCGGGCACCCGGGCACTATGGGACTCCCTCTCATTCTAGCCGCCTTCCACCTTCCTTCTCTCATCTCCTTTTTCCCTTGCTGCTTCTCTCTCTTCCCCCTCCCACCCTGGCTCCTTTCCTCACTGTTTCCCTCTCTGGTTCACTTCCTTCCCTGCTCACTTGCTCCCCGGTTCACTTGCTCCCCGCTCACAGTCTGCTCCCTCCCAACTCCCCCTCTGGATTACTGCCTCTCCTCTCCAGTGTTCATTTCCTCCCACCCACTATCACTTGCTCATTTCTATCCTCTCTCTCTCTCTCTCTCCCTCTCTCTCTCCCTCTCTCTCTCCCTCTCTCCCTCTCCCTCCTACACACCTTCCCTGACTCATTTCCTCCCTCCTTCCTCTGTCCCTTCCTTCCTCTTTTGCCTCCTCCTTCCCTTTCTCCCTTCCTCTTTTCTCATTCTCTCCCTTGCTCCCTCCTTTGCCGCTTCCCTCTCTGGCTCCTTTCCTTCCCTGATCAGGCACTCCCTGGTTCATTCTTTGCTCTCCTTCCCTCTGCCCCTCCCTCCTCTCCCTCCTCTTTCCTCCTCCTACCTAGGGCTATCCTTGTGGCTTAGCACAAGGTACTAAGTACTAAGGTACTAAGTCCTCCATGCCTCAGCCTCAGGAGGGTTAAAAAGAAGCTGGGGGTCCCTGGCCAACAGCAGAATGAGGAGCAGAGTACAAAGAGGCACTTCTTAGCAAATCTGGGAACCAAGAGTACCAGAACCCTGATCTGGTTATCAGGATGAAGGGCCCCCACTATGTCTTTTGGAGAAGGGGTGTCTTTCCCTCACAGGATTGAGAAGTACAGAAAGACTTTTGCAAGGGGAGGTGTGGAGATGGTCTGAGGAGAGAAGAAAGGAAGGAACCACTGGTGAGCAGGGCCTGGTATTGCTGCTAGGTTGCTGTGTGAACTTGAGTAATTTGCTTCCTCTTTCTGTGCCTCAGTTTCCTTGTCTGCAAAACTAGAGGGTTGGTCTGGTCTGAGATCTCAAAATAGAAAGAGAAAGGTGTGGGAAGAACGCCGCGGTGGGCAGTTAGATGCAGCTGGATAAAAGATTTGGGGTCTTCCTGCTTCCTAGTCCTCTCCCCAAAACCAAGGTTCACCCTGCAGAGGACAGGACATGTTAAGGTGCTTCCCGGTTAGGGGTCCTTCTCACCCTTGGCCGGGTCTGGATCTCCCCTGTCTAGCCCCTGAGCATATCCTCCCACTCTCTGCAGTCCTCAGTCTCTGCTTAGGCTCTCTCTGTGCCAGTCTGCCTGTCTCTCACTGCCTGCTACCCCAGTAGGGCCCCCTCCCGAACATCCCTGTTCATTTCTTAGACTGGGAAACAACGTGCCAGCTTATTTTCCATCTCTAGCTCTACTTTCTGTGGTCTTCTTTCCTCCCTTCCCCCAGAGCAGGTCTTAGATTTCTCATTCCAGGCTTTCACTCATTAAAAGAGAGATCATTGGGCACCTGGGTGGCTCAGTCGGTTAAGCATCTGCCTTCGGCTCAGGTCATGATCCTAAAGGTTTTGGGATCGAGTTCCGCGTCGGGCTCCCCGCTCAGCAGGGAGTCTGCTTCTCCCTCTCCCTCTACTACTCCCCCCTGCTTGTGCTCTCTCTCTCTCTCAAATAAATAAATTAAATGTTTAAAAAAATAAAAGATCATTGCTACTGGTTCCTGTGCCATATTATGCCACTCCGAATAGTATAAGAATCTACCCCACAAGGCCCGATTCTCTCTCCAGTGGTGCAGTTTTGGGGCAGACGTCTCCTGTGTCTCTGATTTTGTTTTTCAGATGGGCCATTCAAATCAACCAGAAGATTGCTCTCAGAGTGACCTTGAAGGTTTATGCTGGGAAATGTTATTGCCTCCTATCTTTCACTTCTCTCCCCCACTGCCTTTTATCTCAAAGCAGAGAGGAGTGGGCTCTCTTTGCCTGTTTGTGACTATCTCTCCTCTCCACCCATAGGAGTCCTACCCACCTTGTGTGGATGACTTCCTATACATCTGTGATGATATTTATCAGCGAGATGAGATGCTCACCATGGAAATCAGCATCCTGCAAACTCTCAAATTTGATATCAACATTCCCATCGCCTATCATTTCCTGCGCAGATATGCTAGGGTAAGAGGGAGGAGGCACATCCTCACTCTCCCACTACTGGGTTAGTCCCCTCCATACCCAGAGTGGCTGCTTGAATGGTAGGGAAAGGGAAAGGGGCAGCGGGGGACAGGGGAATTTCTTCTTCAGTCCACCCTCCTAGACTGACCACCTTTATGAAGTGTTGGGGGGGAACAGAATTGAAGACTTTCCTGGTGTACCTTTATGTTTTGAGGTGAAGGCAGTGTAAGGGAGGGGAAGAAGAGTCTTTGATCAGGAAGGGACACGTGGGAAGTTGGGGGGAAATGCTGGTAAACTTTTCTTCCATCATCTGACTATTGGTTCCAGGGGAGGTCACTTTATAATTATTTACTGTATTCTACAAGTACACCTGTGTACTTTCCTCTATGGGTGTGTTATAGGTTATAATTTTTAAAAAAGATTCAAACAAGAAAAGGGAAATTCTTTTGGAGCATGGAATATTTCTAGGGTGGAGCCAGGTGCAAAGTTAGAGAATTTTGGCTCTTCAAAGGATAACTTGCTAAGAAAGGGGATGTGAGGGAGGGTACCACAAGGATACTTGATAATTTGGTTAAAAACTCTAAAGGTAGCAAATCCCACTGGCCGATTTCAGAATCCCTGCCTGAAAGATTCTGTGCTTTTGGGGGTAGGGTCCGTAGTGTGAGTCATGGTAGCAAGAGAGGTAAATTGTTCAGACAGAGAGCCATTTAGGCCTGAAGTGGGATAACTGGAGAGAGTGGGTACAGTGGGTCTTCTGCTAGGTGCTGCTTTTCTGAATTGATTGCTGAGCCAGTCTTCTTGCTACCCTTAGTGTCTCCGTGCCAACATGAAGACACTGACTTTGTCACGCTTCATCTGTGAGATGACTCTGCAGGAATACGACTATGTCCAGGAGAGGGCTTCCAAACTAGCTGCTGGCTCCTTCCTCCTGGCCCTCTATATGAAGAAGCTCGGACACTGGGTAAACACTTGCCAGGGGCACAGGGTAGAGATTTAGAAGCACAGAATCAGCAACCTAAGTGTCCACTGATGGATGAATAAATAAAGAAGATGCGGTGTATACACACACACACACACACACACACACACACACACGCACACACACACGAATATTACTTAGCCATAAAAAAGAATAAAATCTTACATTTGTGACAACATGGATGGACCTATACGATATTATATTAAGTGAAATAAGTCAGAGAAAGACAAATACTGTATTATTTCATTTCTCTGTGGGATCTAAAAAAACAAAACAGGGGGCACCTGGGTGGCTCAGTCGGTTAAGCTTCTGCCTTTGGCTTAAGTCATGATCCCAGGGTCCTGGGATCAAGCCCCGCATTGGGCTCCCTGCTCAGTGGGGAGCCTGCTTCTCCCTCTGCCGCTTCCCCAGCTTGTGCTCTCTCTCTCTCTCTTTCAGATAAATAAATGAAATCTTAAAAAAACAAAACAGAAACAGATTCATAAATATGGAGAACAAACTAGTGAGGGGACGGGGTGGAGGGAAGGGCAAAATAGGTGAAGGGGATTAAAAGGCACAAATTTCCAGTTACAAAATATATAAGTCACGGGGACATAAAGTACAGCATAGGGAGTATAGTCAATAGCATTGTAATAACGTTGTATGGTGACAGATGGTGACTACACGTATCATGGTGAGCATTTTGTAATGTATATGAATGTTGAATCACTATGTCATACACCTGAAACTAAGGTAGTATTGTATGTCACCTATACTTCGAATTAAAGGCAAGAAAACACAGGGTAAATTCGGGAGGAAGGTGTAAAGTAGGGTCATGGGCCACTCAGTGATAAAACTGCCATGTACCCATAGTTATAAATTCTTTGACATCTCAACGTGTTAAGAGCCTGGCTGCTTAAAGGGTTTTTACAGCAATGGTTTTGAATTGTTTTACTTTATTTTTCTTAGTCGCAGTACTCTTTATTCCAAAGAAAGCTTACTTGAAAACCCAATATTGTAAAACAGACTAATATGAAATAATTCTGGTTGCAGCAGGTGGTAGGATGGGCCCCCTTCTTACCTGACCCCATTCTGCCCCTTGCAGTCCCCCCAGCAAGGTTGCCCTCCACTCCCCTGAGAGCTCATTGGAATATAATTTGAGAAGCACAGACCCAGAGTTGTGCAAGCAACTGTCTGTGTGTATAATGGGGGATTCGGAGGTATAGTATAGTGGTCTTCTCTGAAGAGGAAGTCCCCTAAAGCCTCCTTCCCCGGTATAAATAAAAGTCATTCCTAAGCTCCTCCAACCTAGAAGTCCTGCAGCCACTACTGTTGGGAAAACCTCTGTGTACCAAGAAAGACTGCTATAAACAGTTGTGTGAACTTGGACAAGTCGTACTGAAATTTCTTGGGACAGAGAAAGCATTCAGTAAATGGCAGTGATGATGATGAAAAGGAAAAAAATGGCTAGCATTTATTTAGTGCTTAGACAGTGATCTAAGTACTTTGTGTATTAACTCATTTAATTTTCACAAGATCAGTACTATCGTCCCTACTTTACAGATAAGAGATAACTTCCCATGTTTTGCTAATGAGAGGCAGAGCTAGTCTTTGGGGATTAGGGGTCGTGTTCAAATTGTTATACCTACTGTATCATCAGAACTGATGTGGCCATAGCTTTGGAACTGTGGCCCTAGAGAGGCTCCACGTTGTGCCAGGCTTTGATCTTCAGATCGTGGGGAAATGTTGTAGGTTCTGAGGGGGACAACTGAGGGACTCAGGGCAGCAAACTGCCTGCCGACCAGTATAGAAATAGTTCTGTGTTTTCACAGCTGGCACGGTTACACCGGTGAGTATCAGCTAAGTGTCAGCCCTGATCTGAACTCAGGTAGTATGGCCCCACAGTCCTCTATGCTATGTAGACCGCCTCTATAGATAAGAAAGGCTTCACAGAGGAGGTGACTTTTGAGTTGGGTCTTGAAAGATGAGTGGGAACCTGTGAGAGAAGACATTCTAGGTAGAGGGAATGATAACTGACCAGATGTGAAGGCAATGAGAAGAGTGTGAGGTATTTGGGGCAGAATAAGGCCCTTCCTGTAGATAGAGCAGAGGACATATTGATAGGGAGTGGTGAGAGATGAGACCGGAATGGTAGGGTGTAGTCAGATTGGGAGAGACCTTTGATGCCAAACGGAGAGACCCACTTTATATGAAGGTATTGGAAGGTTTTGAGGCAGGGGAGTGACCTACTCCTCTCTGTGTGTTCTGGAAACACCCCTGGTATAGCAGTAGAGAAGGTGAATTAAATGAGAGGTAGTATCAAAGTGGGAACACCCAGTGAGTAGGCTTTCGTAAGAGTCAAGATGAAGCATTGGGGTCCGAACCTGTGCAGTGACAGTGGAGCCATTAATCTTATTTGACACACCCAATATAATGTGTTACTCCCCTGCTCAGCATGCCAGTGATTGCCCTTTACCTGTGGCAGTGGTTTCTAAACAATATTCAGTAGAGCCCTGTGATTGCTGTAGAAGTGTCTCCTGGGCCCTGTAAAAGGTAAAGGGATCCAAATTGGTGGGCTTGTTAGCTCTCCTTCCCAATTCCAGGTAAATATTTAGGATTCCAGGTAAGATATTTGAAAAAAAGAAAAAGAGTTCAGAGAAAGTAATTTAAGACACTTTTAGAAAACCACTGCCTTATAGAATAAACCTTCTCCTCTCTACCTGTGGAGCTCCCACTTGACTTTCAACACCCACTGCAGTCGTGCACTCCTTTACAAAGCTTTCGGTGACTCTCCTGGCCAAAGTTCATGGGTCCTGCTGCTCTGTTTCTCCAGGGTCCCATTCTCACTTTCATCATAGACCTTCCCACACATTCTGTAATTCTCTGTGTGCACAGCTGTCTCTCCCACTACACATTCCTTAGGGGCAGGGGCCTTAGTCATCTTTGTATTCACAGCAGCCTACACAGGGCTTGGTAATATTAACCCTAGCTAGCCTCGTTTGGACACTCACTTTGTGCTAGGCTCTGCTCCACTGTGCATTGTGTGTATTAACTCATTCGCTCCTATGATGCAATTACTGTAATGATCCCCATTTGGCATAGTGGGAAACTGGGGCACCAAGAAATTAATAACTGGCTCAAGTCCATGCTGTTGGTGGAGCTAGAATTTGAACCTAAGCCGTTTGCTTCTGGAACCTTTGCTCTTAGACGCTCTGCTGTATTACTTCTGCCACATAATAGGCATCCTTAAAATTGAATGAGAACATAAACGCATGGAATGATAGCTCTTAGAGCCAGAGAAAAGGAACTGCCTTAAATTCCTGTTGTCTGTTGACTTGGGATCTTAAGTTTGTTTTGAGGTTTGCCTGGCCATTGGCTCTTGACCTGAGCGTGAGTAAATTACAAAGTTAGTCATGTTCCTTAGATTCCTTAGTGGATTTCAGCTTACATGAATACCTACAACCAGGGCTAACATCCGACTGGTACCTGTGGATATATGGTACATATGTTCATCTGGATAGCTATACCATTAGTTTGCAGCTGGAACCTAGTCTTCTAGGAAGTACTCTATACTTACTGGTCAGTGTCTGTGCTGTATGAGTTTTTTGAAATGTCTGACTATCTCCTCTGCCTATACCATGCATACAAAGTCTGGACTTGGGATGGTAGAGATAGAGGAAGGGTCCGCTTCCTGTGGTAAAAGCCACTGTTCATGTTGCTTCTTCCAGGCTCCTGCCCTGGAGTATTACAGCGGCTACAAGACCTCTGATCTTCACCCCTTGGTCAAGCAGCTAAACACCCTGCTGACATTGCGTCCTTGCAACAAGCTCAAGACTGTGCATTCCAAGTATTCTCACCAGTAAGTACCAAGCTCCAGTTGAGGATGGGTTTGTGCTCAGCCATGGGGAGGCACAGACTAGTGCCTCACTTAAGGAGAAAAAAAGATTCAGTACTGTTCGCCTTACTTTCTGCTCTAGGATTAAACCAATATAGGGAACCAAGAGTCCTATGTCTCGTTTATTCCAAGGAGCCTGTTTGCTTTGGCTTATTTTTACGCTGAGCAGACCCCTCTTCCTTTTGCAGGGTCTTCTTCGAAGTCACCAAAATCCCTCCCTTGGACATGTTGAAGCTAGAGAAGATTTTGAACTACTGCTAAGTCTGAGGCTGAGGAGCCGGCGCACTGGCAGCGGCCACCAGGGCCAGGCAGGCATTGAAATAAGCTGTTACTTATTCTGTCTTTGAATGTGTCTTTTGATCACTTGTCTTTCTTTTTTACTCTTTTGTTTGTCTTTTCCCAAATTGATAGTGTTGTAAATTTTTAACTTGTTATGAAAGAAAAGAAATTATTATAGTATTTGATTAGAAATTTAATAAAAAATTGTTTGTTAAAAGGGCTCACGTCCCCTCTTTTTGCTCAGGAGCCCCATGCATAGCCCAGGGATGTTTTTCCCTGTGCCTCAAGGATCTAAGTTATCCAGTTTCCTTCTCTAGTTGGAGACTTTCTCTTCATGGGAAGAAGAATTGAATTAGGGTGTAAATTGAAGGCTGAGTCTGTACAAGGAGGATCCTTGGGGCATTGGTGCCCAGCTCAAAGAGAGAGAGAGCCCTACCGGATAGACAGGCCTCAGTGTTTAGATCTGGGGCAGCTGGGAGTGTGGGCCAATACCCTTTGGTCCCCATCTCAGGTTGCTTGCTTTCCTTGTTTCTTCCTGGATGACAAAAAGATGGGGAATTAGGATTTTAACCCTAATATAGCCCTACTTTCATAGTTAAGCAGCTTTCTAGAGTCTAAATTTGAAAAGCTGCTTGGAGTGGCATGCCAGAATCTCCTTTGGACCTTATCTTGTGTCAAGAGGAGAACTTTCCACCTGTGAAATCAGTGAGATGTCCCATGAATGCAGGCATCGATCATTTGCCCAATGTTCATTCATAAAGCCTTAAGGAGGTTCTGCTCTCTCTCCCTGTCCTACCTTTGGGGTGATGTGTACTGGTACAGCTATCTTGGTTGTTAACAGAGGAGCTGAATCTACTCTGTGCCAGTTGATGAAGAGCCACTGCCTTAATCCTGCCTCTAAGACCTCTGTGACCTCCCCGCAATCTAGCAACTGCAGTAAGTGATGTCTGTCACAGCAGGAGACCTCCAGGGCTCTATTCTAGTACTGTGACTGGCAACTGTTGTGATTGGTCTGTGCTCATGTGTAGCTTCTTGTCAAATGTTTTGAATATCAGTCCTGACGGTGGGAATCTGGTGGAGGGGACAGTCGATGGAGAACTCTTGGGGAAAATACCTCCCCAGTTCTGACCCCAGATTCCCCATGCTAGTCTGGTCACATCCCCTTTTGTGGTTGGGGACAGGAGGGAGAGCACTCTGAGCCCTTAGATGTCTTAGTGCTTTCTCTCTGTGTCAGTTTCCCATTTCCCCTCCAAACTTGCTTTGCCTTGGCGACCAGACATCACTGGGTTCCCTCCTGCCCCATTCCATTACTTTGCTGGGTGACTAAAGGGTACAGCCAGAGGTCTTGAGTTGCTCGACAGTGATTCAGCTTGCATAGCCAACTTTGCATAAACATGCTAAAAGCACTAGGCTGGAATCCCTCTTGCAAATTCCAGCCTCACTGAAAGGAAGTATCTTATACCTGCTTTTTAATTCTGGAACTTCATCAAAGGAAAAAATGAACTGATTTGATTATTCCGCCCCCCTCCCACATTTTTTCGACTCTGTTCTTCTTTAGAAGTGATTGTGGAACCATCAATCATTTTTGTGGTTGTTCATGTCTCAAAATTTATTTTACACTTATCACTACTTCAAAATTAAGACAACTATTAGACCTGGCTCTTGTTATTTAGTTCTTAATTAAAGAAGCACATCTAATTCTTTATCAAGAATTTTTTATATTTTGATGACTCCAGATCAGTGTAATTGGTTTTCATTGTAACCTTATGTATTTGTAACAGTTTTATTGAGATAAAATTCACATATCATACAATTCACCCACTTAAAGTGTACAATTCAGTAGTTTTCAGTATATTCACAGAGTTGTACATCTATAGCCATAATCTAATTTTGGAACATTTTCATCACCCCAAACAGAAACCCTGTACCCATTAACAGTTAACCCCAGTCCTACCCACTCCCCCACCCCCCAGCCCTAGGCAACCACTAATTTTTTTGTCTCTATAGATTTGCCTATTCTGTGCTTTTCATGTAAACTAAATCATACAGTGTGTAGCCTTTTGTGTCTGGCTTCTTTCTCTTAGCATAATGTTTTCCAGGTTTATCCATGTTGTAGTAGGTGTCAGTACTTCATTTCCTTTTATTGCTGAATGATATTCCATTTTATGAATATACGACATTTTGTTTAGGCATCAGTTGATGGAAATCTGTTTTTTCTCCCTACTTTTTGGCTATTATGAGTAATTCTGCTATGAGCATTCATGAACAAGGTTTCGTGTGGACATATGTTTTCATTTCTCTTGCGAATATACTTAGGAGTGGAATTGCTGGATTATGTACTATTTTACATCTCTATGAGCAGTATATGAGGGTTCCAGTTTCTCTACATTCTTTCTAACACTTGTTATTATCTGTCTTTTTAATTATAGCCATCCTGGGGTACTTGGGTGACTCAGTCTTTAAGTGTCTGCCTTCGGCTCAGGTCATGATCCCAGGGTCCTGGGATTGAGCCCCTCAACAGGTTCCCTGCTCCGCGGGAAGCCTGCTTCTCCCTCTCCCACTCCCCCTGCTTGTGTTCCCTCTCTCACTGTGTCTCTCTCTGTCAAATAAAGAAATAAAATCTTAATTATAGCCATCCTAGTGGGTGTGAAGTATCTTCTTATGGTTTTATTTTGCATTTCATTGATGGCCAATGATGTTGAGCATTTTTTTACGTGCTTATTTGCCATTTGTTTATCCTCTTTGGAGAGACATCTATTCAGGTTCTTTGCCCATCTTTAATTGGGTTATTTGTGTCTTTGTTACTGAATGGTAAGAATTCCTCATATATTCTGGATCATAGATATGATTTGCAAATATTTTCTCTGATTCTATGGATTGTCTTTTCACAAGACAGTCTTGATAGTGCTGTTTGAAACATAAAAGTTTTTAATTTTGATGGTCATATTTATCCATTTTGGATATTTTTGCTTTTGTGTCACATCTAAGAAACCATTCCCTGGGGACACCTGGGTGGCTCAGTCAGTTAAGCGTCTGTATTCAGCTCAGGTCATGATCCCAGGGTCCTGGGATCGAGTCCCCACATCAGGCTCCTTGCCTGCTTCTCCCTCTCACTCTGCTTACTTGTGCTCTCTGTGTGTCAAATAAATAATAAAATCTTAAAAAGAAAAGAAACCATTGCCTAGTCCATTTAAGTCTTACATCTATTTTGAATTAATTTTTATATATTGTGAGATGTAGGTTTCCAACTTCATTTTCTTACATGTGGATGGATATCCAGTTGCTCTAGTACCGTTTTTGGAAAAGACTAATGCTTTCTCTGCTTAATTATCTTGGCACCTTGTTGACTAATTGACTGTAAATGTGAGAGCTTATTTCTGGGCTCTCAATTCTATTCTGCTTACCTATATGTTTATCCTTATGCCACTACCACACCATATTGATTATTGTAGCTTTCTAGTAAGTTTTGAAATTGGGAAATTGTGAGTTCTCCCACTTCGCTTCTCTTTCTCAAGATTGTTTTGCTATGCATTTCTAAATGAATTTTCGCATCAGCTTGTCAATTTCTGAAAAGAAAGCTGGCATTTTCATAGAGATTGCTTTGAATTTGTAGGCCAGTTTAAGGAGTATTGCCATCTTAACCATATTACATCTTCTAATCTATGAACATGTATTTCGTGCTAGTCTCAGCCTATTGATAACCAGTGTTGTGGCTGGACCTGCTCTGATCCTTGTGGTTCTTATTATGATTGCAAGAGGCCCTTAGCAGTAAACATCAGGAAATTCTGAAAGAGACAAGATTTATTACTTACAAGTTCTGGAAATTACACAGCACATGTAGAGGCACATAGCAAGGTCTAATTGTGGTGGGGGGAGGAGGAAGAGGGAGAGGGAAAGGGAGAGTCCTTGCACACACAGGCCTAGGGTTCTGCTTCTATTGAGGTTGAGGGTGGGGACCTAGGGTTTTGTGGGCTCATTCTTTATTGGTGAATTTAAAACCTAAGAGCAAGAATATAAAGTATGGGAAGAGAAAAAACAGTATGGGAAGAGAAAAAACAATTGGCCCAAATAATCAGTTATCAAAATCAATCAAAGAGTCACGGGGGGACTGGCAATGTGTTTAAGTCAGGCACTTGCATTATGAAAAACAAAACAATAACAACCCAACTATTAGGGATTGCATTACAACATGGTATGCCTTTTATTTAGGTCTTTAATTCTTTTCAACAATGTTTTTATAGTTATCAAAGTATAAGCTTATATTTCTATTGTTACATTTATTCCTAAGTATTTTTTTAATGGAGCCATCAGTCTTGGATCACTTTCAATTTCTTGCATACATGTTTTGATTGTGGCCTTACAAAAGGGTGACCTCATTAAGTCTTGCCAACTTTACCTCCTAACTATTTCTTGAATTGGCATTTTCATCATAGTGTCTGTCTACCACTGCCCAGGTTTGAGATCTTATCTTTTGTGTGGATTATTTATGGGACTTTCCTAACTGGTCTCCTTATCTTCAATTTTGTTCCCTTCAAATTCACCCTCCATACAATGACCAGAATGATTTATTTAAAATTCAATTCTTGATTACAGTTCTGGGTAAGATGGTTAAGTGCTTGCTACTCTTTGTCTCTCACTGAACACAGTCATAAAATCGGGACAGCGTGCATGGCACAGCTATTTGAGAGTTCTGAAAAGTAAGCAGCTTAAGGCAGATTGGAGAACACCAAAATTTGAGGAACCAGCAAACCAGTGGAGAGTTTCCCCTCTCTTTTCCCGCTCTCAGATTCTCCAACTGGAACTTCATGCAGCTGAAAACCTGGAAGTGAGCACTGTAGTATAGACAGAGAACTCCAGGAGAGTTCTCTAGTTCTGGCTTGAAAAGTGAGGGGGAAAGAAATCTCCCATTCTTTTTCTTTATTTCTCTCTCCTCTCACATCCCAATCCCCAGGCAGTTATGCAGTGGCAGCAACTGTAGTGGCAATGGGAACCTTCAGGAACCAATAGTCTTAGAGAGATGAACCTTAATTGTTATTTGAAGGAGCTGTGGCCACAGTGAGTAGAGCCATACACTGTTGCTTTTTTATATCTCTGTTCTTCCATTGTTTGTCTTCAGAGGT